TGCGCGCCGCATCGCCCCCGCGCGCGATGGAGGCCTAATGCGGGACGCGGGAAGCCGTGGTACCACGTTTCTGAGGGAAAGAATATGGGGGAAACCATGGAAAAAATGGAGAAAAAACATGGATTTTATGGAACAAAAATGGGAAAATGTTGGATTTTATGGAACAAACATGGGAAACATGGGGATTTCAATGGAAAAAACACAGGGAAAAAGAGGATTTGAAGGAAACACTTAAGCGAAAAATGGGATCTAATGGAAACAAACATGGGATTGTGGTTGATGAAAATGGGAACTTCATACAATGTCAGTACATTGTAGGTCAACTTCTGAAGTAAAGCAACGAACCCTGGGGCTGGCGGCGCCGCTATGCTCCAATTTCTTGTGGATCACGATACTTTTTGGTTGCAAACTGTTTTAAAAATGGCAACTTACCTTCAGATTGCATGATCAAGGGTCTAGTCTTGAGCAACTTGAAATCGTACAGCAGATCTACAGTCAGTAGATACCTATATATGTCATGATATATGCGGTTGGTCAATGACCCTATCAGAAGAAACACAAACCGACTGATCCGTCGTATGTCTGATTGGCAGAATAATTTACTTGTTTGAGACACTATAGTCCTGGTTTAAGACACCGTTTGTTGTGGGTGTTGAACCTCATCTAGATGCATCAACGCCAAGCCACATCTTCTGGCCACAGTGATCCCATCTATAGATATCTGGTTTGGCAGGTTTTGACCTATAGCCGTTGAGAGAAATAACAATAATTGAAACCCTTATTTAGAGTTACTGTGCAGTAACCATACTCCATTTAATTTACAGGCGCTGTTGGAAAATATGATAACTACATACAACTACTCATTACCCCTAACTCCACTGGTTAAACATATATTATTATATATTCGTTCCCATCAAAATCGCTATAAAATGGCGAATACACTTTCTTCAGGCAAACCCAAACATCATATTATTGGTTGCACATCCCGTTGTATCACCATTCCATCCTCAGTATGTCACTACTTCTTAAATTCCTAGATACAACCAGTGAAATTCATTGACATCCGTTTACCCCATATACCACTCGGTTCCTTGCTTCCCTGCAACAAGTTTAGCTTCAAGTGGTAATTCGAAAAGTACCAGTATCAAGAAAAAGCCAAGAGTCTCGGGGAATGGCTGGGAACCGCAATATGTTGACTAATTTACACGAATATCCAAGTTTACATAACTTAGGTGGTTGAAAACATTTTTTTAGGTTAAACAGAACCCATTTACATCGATTGACCCAATATTGAAATATAAAGAAGAAACAAGTTATATATATATATAAAGATATACAGTATGTACTCGCACGAGGGGGAGGGCGGAAGTAGCCTTAGGGTTGTCTATAAAACCTTTCTTATCTATAGAACTTGCATGCGCCCTGCACCAGATCCGTGCTTACGCTTACCTTGTGCGAACCTGCTGCACTGTTGTCAATGATCATGACCCGCACGCATTCACGTTGTAATACAACACCAAGCGACACTTTGTGTTCCAAATGTCGCACTTGAAACTCCACACTTCATACTGTACTCTTCACACTCCACACTTCACACATCGCACTTACACTTCACACTTCACACTCCACACTTCATCTCATCTCATCTGGACTCTTCTCGCCTCATCTCAGCTCATCTCATCTCTTCTCATTTGTCACTTAAGTTCTTCTCAGCCATTTGCATCTCATCTGAGGAGTGCTCAACCTTTCTCATCTCATCGAAGCTCTTCTTAAGTAATCCCAGCTCTTCTCTACGTCAGAAAGCTTTTGCTGTCAGAGAGAAACTCGGCTTTGACAAACACCGTTTTCTTTTTAGGAAAAAAACGATCAAACATAGCGCGCACCCAATTGGGTCATGAATGCTAAATTGTCACTTCCTCATCCCCACCATCGTTCACCTTGCACCATCTTCTCAACAGAAAATAAACCACTGGATTCTACATATGCTTCTCCACCAATCAGAAACTTTTTCTTCACATCCTCTATATATTGAAGAAAGCTCACAAGGAGCAAAAGCCTGGTAAGGAAAAGTATGAAGTTAACATGCAGTTAATGTCACAGGGTGGTCAAACAGAACAGTTTCTAAACAACCTCGATGAACCACAGGATCATTTTCACGTCACATCTTTGTCTTTCTCACAGCTATTATTACAACGCGTTTTGCAATGAAGGAGTCCAAAGCACAATGTAAGTGCAATGTGCAGGTACATGCAAAACAAATCGAAACAGCCATTATACAGTGCGGACTACGCGGAACCAAGCCCGCACCCGCCTCACACAGGAGCTGCCCTTCATCGTCGACTCCAGCCACTTTACACGAAAAAAAGCACTGTTTCGCGGTCCGGCACCCTCCCGAAGACAAGTCCCACGCAACATTCATGCAACCATGACAATGCGATCTGCACCGACAAGTGGCAAATCCGCATGTATCTACACAACAATCATAATACAGCACACTACACGTGACCACAATACACGAGATCACAGAACACAAGACTAGACTTCACAAGACTAGACTACACTACGGCATGACAATCTGTCCGTACCTGGGAAGAGGCGGGCAGGGCCCCGCCTTGTGCTGATTTGGCAAAAGGTCCAACCATCATATCATTCCCCATCTATTCCCACTGTAGTCCCACATCCCATGAAGTTTTAGTCAATAAAAACAAATAAATAGTACACACAAAGTCTGCCATTCTTCTTAATGATATACATATATACATATACAATAAAACTAGCTCTCCAAGGTCTCTTCAGTTGAGGCCTCACATCGCACATTAAGATCCCATTTAAAAAACAAATGAACAATCAGACGGTTGAACCCATCAGTGCCTTGGCCACAACCGCTGCAGCGCGAGCAGCTGCAGCTGCAGCAGCTCCTAGCGAGCTGCGACCATTTTTTCGTCGGCCCGGTGAAACAACGGAAAAAAAAGTGGGCAAAACCGCAGCTGCAATTATGGGCCTTAAATTAAAAGTTATAACAGGCGAAGAAAACCTTACTTATTAAACTGATCTAACTATATAACCTCAGTTGTATGAGATATTTCATCCCATTTATAACTGTGAACGGCCATAGCTATGCAAACATGCGGGTGAAACCACTTTGAAGCGTCATGGTTAATTAATTTGCATTGGCTAATCTTGCAAATGATGATCATATTGGACATCGCCAAAAGGCCATCTTGACCAGAAAACAAAGGGAGTTGAAGGCATGCATCAGACTTGGTCTTCTGAAATCCAACATGGAACCCCGAAGAAATGCAGGTTTCACATCTAAGCTGCCCTGTTGTAGACGACCTATCCATAGGGTGGCCCCCAGCCGGATGGGATTAGGGGGCCTTAACGAACCAAATCTGCAGTACCCTATAGAGGTTCCAAAAATTGCATCACCCAAAGCCGTTAGTGGCAACCCATAACTCGCACGCCTTTGCGCACACCTTTCGCTGCCATGGCAACGCATGGCAGAACGCCACGGAAATGCGAAGGCTTTCGTGCAGCTCGTCCGGGGGTTCAACATCCAGTGTACTTGGCTGTTTCCTGTGGCAGCTACACGGGCTAGAAACTGCTTTTCCACTGCTTGGACCCTGGAAACCCACAGATATTTCAGACTCCCAAAAAGAAACATTGAGTTCCAGTATGATTGGGGTTGATCCAGCGTCACAATGCTGACTTGAATACAATCTCAAAACTATCATGTGGTTTTCGGAAACTCTTGGTAGCTCCTTGACTCCCAATTGAGGGAATATGGATACCCGATACCCTTAACTCCCCAGCTCAGCACCATTCAATTTCGACATCCCTTGGGTGAAAGCGGTTTTGAACCAAACTACCAGCGTAAACAAGTGACACCGAGTAGCCATGCCATCACCGCACAATTGGTCTAGTTTTTGTTGGGCCACAAGTCAAAGATCTCGCATTTTCTACGCTACCAACTGGGGCCATCTAGATAGCTAAGTTGGCTTATAAACTGGGGTAATTACGGGTTTTGGGTAAGTAGATTGATGAAAATCATCATAGCCCTTGGGTGTTATGCACCAACATATAACTGGGGGGCTCCACCTTGTGCTATCAGTTGGCTACTCCGCACCCTTGGGTCGTTATAGTGCTTGATGGCCATCGCATCACAAGAGCTGCCCCTTTTATCTGTTTGATGATCATTGGAATGTAACATCCATTCTCCTCAGTCTTAGACATGCTACACAGAAGGATGATGCTGACAGTTTGATGCTGACTTGGTCTCGGTCTAGCTACTGTAGAAGCGAAGTCTCCAAGCAACGAAAGGACATCTACAGAAAGGGAGATGCCATCTTCCATGACCTATCACGTGCTTGGGAAACTCGTTTGTACCTCCATGGATCATGGGGAACATCATCCATATCATGATTCCTAATCACTCCATTCCACCAGAGAGTTTCCATCTCGCCACTTTTCACCAGCCAAATCTCCGGCGGGTCCGTCCGTCTCGGTGACCGCCACACACTGTCCCAGGCCGCCAGGCCATGCGACGGTACCCAGAGGAACCCGACCGGTGAGCTCGAGTGGCTCTCAGGGGGTCTTACGTTCACAACCTTTCGGTCGACACCAGACGCGGACAGTCTCTAGCACGGTGTCGCAGGCTGTGCCCAGCCCCATGCCACAAGGCCCTGGCTGCTGCAATCTATTGCGAAGCACCACTGGGAACCATGTCAACAGAACATTCTTTGCAAACAAAAATCTATTGGAAGCGTGTCCGCGCATCTAACAAAATCAAAGTTCTTTGATGGTCCTGGCACTTCCGCAAAGGTTCTGACCTGCAAATGCTTTTATTGACTCAGCAAATTGAATAATTCCTGCGTACATACATGTCACTTACTACATCTTGGTATTTGGTAAGACAATTTTACCAGTATATGTTAGCGTGAACGGTGACCTTTACAGAATATATATATATAATACATGTATATAAGATATCCGAACTAAATGTACAACATCTATTCGCAGGTCAGAAAGCCTCCCCTCAACGCACCAGTTCACCACATTGGACCTTTTCCTTGCGCTCCAAAAAAACATCCCAAAGGGTCGTGGGTCCCAAATGGGTTTCGACTTCCTAACATTCAAAACGAGCCTTCAGAGGAAACAGGACAGTTGCCCATGCCTAAAGGTAACTGGGACAATGGTGGAACATGTCAGTACTCTCTGGTGTCATCAAAATATGGCTGGAACCCCCCCATTTTCCCATTCAACCCCCCATTTAGTCCGTGGATTTCCCACTTCTACCGGAGTTCCACTGGCGAACGGATGTTTTTCCACACAATTTTCAACGATCTATGCGGCACCAGTAGCAAGAATGAGTGAGGACAGGTTGAAATCTCGTAAAACTTAATCTCGAAAGTAGGCATTCCCAGGATTGTGTTGCAAATAGCAAGCCAACCTCATCCTCCTCCTCCTCCTCATCATCATCATCATCGTCATCATCATCATCATCATTATCATCATCATCATCCTCCTCATCGTCATCGTCATCATCATCATCATCAGCAGCAGCAGCAGAAGCAGAATTGTGTTTTTCATTGTTGTCCCGTTCTTCTGACACTCTTCAGGGGCACAAGCCAACACTAGAGTTCCATCTACTATATACATATATGGACTGAGTTATGTTCACCTGGCCATTCACTTTGATGGCAGCCAACAAAAACAAATAGTTTATTTGTATATAAAGAATAAAATGTGTCTTTTTATTAAACATATATGAACATATATTGACCCATTACCTGGGGGATGGTCCTGAATCCATGTTCACAGTAGTTACTACAGCCAGGATGTCTGGATTCCCATTATGGTATGGATAGGCATCAAGCCATCTGGGATAATATATATATAATATCAGATGATAATCCCACTCAAATCCATATGTATATATATATATAGGTATCCATACATCCAGATTATATTATAAATATATCGCATGATATCCCCATTCTTTCATGAAATCTCTGTTTCCGCTGAGGATCCTGCAGGAATTTCTAGCCTTTCTGGGTCTTCCTTTGAAGCTGTTCCAACTCCTGGAGGCGTATACCGGGCCCGCCGATGTGGGGCCCAAACGGTAACGTTAAGTTGGCGGGTTTATAGCTCCTATTTCACTGGGGTTTATAGGGTTTATACAAAGTTGGTGAAATAGGAGCTATAAACTAGTGTATTGATACTTTAGTTACTTTAGTTGGTGGGTCTATGATACACGCATAACTATATAGTTCATAGGGTTTATACACCAACTTATAACTGGGGGGCCCCACATTGTAGGTACCCTAAATCATAGCTGGTGAATGGATGGTTCTTCCCCAAATGTGGTAATCATAGGGAACTTGACCCATCCGCATATGGGATTTATATGGGCATTTATATGCAAAAAAGTATGGGATTTGTATGGGATTTAGCCAACAACAATGGTGACTTAATGGCATTATATATATATACACATATGTATTGATATACAATGGGGATCCACCCTCCGGAAATAGAGCTTTAACTCCATCAACAATAGGTAATAGGCATTTTCCATGGGATGATTCATGGAAAATATCATGGGATTTTATGGTATTTAATGGGATATGATGGGAGACCAGTAATTTGTTACGTAGCTATGTAAAACATATTTTTCCAATGGCCCGCTTGCTTCGATGATTTACCGTCAAAGTGGTGGTCGGTTTTCTGTTCTACCCGAAGCCAAGATACGAGGAGGTGCTCCAGATATATCGAACTTGTTGGGGTCATATATCAACATATAACCCAAACTGGTTGATTGAAAACAGTTTCCGGTGAGTTGTGGTGAGCTCATAATCTCCATAACAAACCAGGTAGCAAAATCTTGTATAACCAACCAACCACCAGGTTCTTGGTGTCTTAGTAACAATTGTTCGTCGTGGTAACGGCTGGGTCAATGCTTCAAAGAGACCCAGTCGAGATGGTTAAGTGACTTCGAATTGATGGTTGAAAAGGTCACTTTGAAGAACCCGGGCAGTCTTAATGGTCCCGGGACCTCTTATAGTTATATAAACTATGGTCAACCTGAGTTAACTATATAATATAAAATACAACAATCTAATATCATATAATTTAATTCAATATGTTACAATATAAAATGGAATATATTATATATAATATATTATAATATAATATAATATAGTATAATATAATATAATATAATATTTAAGCTAATATAATACCATCCAGCCATAGTTTTCATGGTAACATATTCTAACTCTCAACGTTAGGAGCGCCATGCCCGACTCTCCTTGGCCAAAGCATCAAAGGTGGTGAGGACGATGTCCTTCTCGGGCGCCAGGGCCTGTTGTCATCATGGTTTTATTGGTGATTTGATTTAACTAGGGATTTAATGGGAGTTGATAGGGGTTTAATGGGAATTTAAAGGGATTGACTGGGAGTTGATAGGGATTTAATGGGAATTTAAAGGGGTTGAATGGGAGTTGATAGGGATTTAATGGGAATTTAAAGGGATTGAATGGGAGTTGATAAGGGTTTAATGGGAATTTAAAGGGATTGACTGGGAGTTGATAGGGGTTTAATGGGAATTTAAAGGGATTGAATTGGAGTTGATAAGGGTTTAATGGGAATTTAAAGGGATTGACTGGGAGTTGATAGGGGTTTAATGGGAATTTAAAGGGATTGAATTGGAGTTGATAGGGATTTAATGGGAATTTAGAGGGATTGAATGGGAGTTGATAGGGATTTAATCGGAATTTAAAGGGATTGAATGGGAGTTGATAGGGATTTAATGGGAATTTATCGGGATTGAATGGGAGTTGATAGGGATTTAAAGGCAATTTAAAGGGATTGACTGGGAGTTGATAGGGGTTTAATGGGAATTTACAGGGGTTGAAATTTCTCCAGATTCTTCCAACACTGGGGCACTGGATTTGTGCATGCTGAGCATGTGGGAGACTATGCTGATTTGCACATAGCAGCTAGCAGAGACACCAAAGTTAGATTAGGCATGTCCCTGGGATGAAACTTGGGGATTTAATGAACTTTTTCATGGGATTCGGATGGTGATTTATCAAGTTCTTATGTTTTTTTGCACGGTTTTACGGGATCTCAATTGGGATCTCAAGTTTGTAGGATCTAACCGCAAAGTCATGGCAGTTACAGCTTGAAACAATATGAAACTCAGCAAAACCTGTGGGATGTCATGGGTACCAGTATTACCATCCCCAAGTATCATGTCGACCCTATTGTGAGGTGGAGGTGAGAGTGCTGCTTTCCGGATATTCAGAGTCTAGGCTCGGGGGATGGACGTATGCTTAGTTGGTGGAGAGTTCCACGTGGCCGTGGGGCAGTTGGAATCAGCTCGAGCCATGATTTGTTCACCAAGCAAATGGTCGAAACACCGCCAACCTTAGATACCCTGGAAACCTTCTACTCATGTGCATTATTGTACAGTCATATTGGGCACATACGGCTACTGTACCCAAAAACATCACAATTCATGATCGCAAACAAAACATCAATAGCGACACATAATTTATGACCATTTTACTACCGTAAATCGTGGCCACAGGTTGACCCGGTACACCTCGATGGGTTAACACCTCAGTGATGAACATCCATGAAAAATCCATGAACATCCATTAGAATCCATGAGAATCGTCCAATCATCCATGATGAAAACCCAGACTCCCGCCCGTCGCGGTCTTCGCCTTAAAGGCCTTATGGGCCTGTGATTCTACGGCGACGCGACAAAGGATGGGGGATCATGGAAGGATACAATGCCAGATGGGAACATCTTCTATGGAGGTTTCAATGGGGAAAAAACATCTATAAATAGTGAGTAATGGTGATTACACTCTGGTAAATTAACAGTTCGACCCTGGCAGTCATCGGGGTTGGAAGACTAGTGAAACCACTGAAAATTGGTTATTCTCAGGGTCTATGTTAATTGAGGGTACATAATGGTGATGTAGCATTCAGTAATCAAACGCGCAAACGCTTTACACACAAACGCTTTGACGTACACGCAGACGCTTTTACACGCAGATACTTTTACACACACACACACAAACGCTTTGACACAGACACTTTTACACAACAGACACTTTTACACACCAGAAACTTTTACACACAGACAGCTTTACACACAGACAGCTTTACACACAGACGCTTTTACACACAGATGCTTTTACACACAGATGCTTTTACACACAGAAGCATTTACAGACAGCACACAGAAGCTTTTACACAGACACATTTACACAGAGAAAAAAAATCAATTTTACCTCGGTTTTTAGCGATCGAACCTCATTTCGTGCGAAAGAGTCGCGCCGGACACCTTGAAATCGCAATTTTACCACAGTTTTCGGCGATCGAACCTCATTTCGTGCGAAAGAGTTGCGCGGGACCAGTTGAAATTAAGGCTTTGCCTGGCTATTTGTTCTTTCTGCCTAGGCTATTTGTTGTTTCCCGAGTTTTGTTTTCAAAGGGATATTCAGATCTCTTTTCACATCTAGACAGACATTGTTTTTCATGGATGCTGTCCAGAGTATCCATAACCATCACCTGTTCCGCGTACGGGTCTTCTGCGCCAACTTTAGTTGAAAACACAGTTGTATTGAATGCATGGTGTTTGGTGAATGTATTGATGCATATTATCATGAATGGAAACAAAAATGTGATCGACAAAGATCAAGAGCAGTAGGTGGTTCAAAGTGCCATGGGCCTCAGCAGGCTCAGGCTCACAACCGTTTTGATCTCAGATGCAGCGTTTTGAGTTTTTATAGCCAGCACCGATCTATTGAATATGTGATGTCAAGGTAAGATGTTTTTACACAATTCACAACGCTTTCACACAATTTATTGCAAGACACTTTTACAGCGGCTCTGTCAAGTTGTCTTAACCTCTCAATCCTCAGTGTCTTTGGCTTTCGTTCCAATAGATTTATTTCATATTTCAATAATGTGCAGTGTGTTTGACATTCTTTGGAGACAAGTCTGCGGTTTGCAGGTGAGTGGGGGCTTCGATTGGCCAGTCACAGCCTCAAGAATTCAAGCACCGCTTCAAAACACTTACATGCTATCCAAAACATGTAGGGAGAAATGCGCAGGAATCCCACCTGCACACAGGACTGAAAGATTGTAGAAGGTCATCCCATGATGGCAGGGTCCCTTCTTGCTATCATCATGATGACTCAAGGTGATGGAGCGAAATTGTTCAAAGCATGTAGCACCAGGACTCACATGGGTGGAGCTCCAGGTTTTTTAAATTTGATCATGCTCATGCATGTGAGCACCAATGATGATGGCACGCTGGCGCTGCCAATGAACGAACAAAATGTTTCCAGTTTTGTTTAGAAGTAAGTCAACGTTTCAGTGAAATCAACTGTCAAGACCTCATGGCCCACTAAACTACATTGCTTGGCCGTTCCATCAGTCTGCAGTTGTTTCAGCGAAGACCTATATCTGGAAAGCAACGAAGAAGCGAGCAGCGTGAAAAGGATAAGCGTATGTTTCTTTCGGTTCGATTTTGTCCGGGTCGGCAGGCAGTGGCTGTAAGAGTCGCTGTGGAATGACATGCGACTTGTGGCTGTAAAAGTCACAAGTCTTTGAAGCCTGTCCAATACGCGGGGTTCAGCTTGTGAATTCTCCAGGCTGGCTGCAAGCGGAATGAGCTATGCAGTATCGTGCAGTGGTCCTGCGCTCAAGCTGAAGGTCCAGTTTTATTTTGTTTTCTCCTGGGCGTGCACCAGCAAGAAGTTTAACATTTTTTAAACAAATGTTTCGAAATATTGCAGATATTGAAAATCCAAGCGATCAGGGGGTACGTTTCGATGTACCCCCCACATCGCTTGGATCCTTGGTTTTGGTGGGAAGATCGCCTGGGTTCAGATGAACCCAGGCGATGTGGGGGGTAGATCGAAACGTACCCCCTGATCGCTTGGATTTTCAATATCTGCAATATTTCGAAACATTTTATAGTCATGGAAAATGTGACTATGTTAAAAAAAAGTAAACTTCTTGCTGGTGCACGCCCAGGAGAAAACAAAATAAAACTGGACCTTCAGCTTGAGCGCAGGATCACTGCACGATACTGCACTGCATAGCTCATTCCGCTTGCAGCCAGCCTGGAGAATTCACAAGCTGAACCCCGCATATTGGACAGGCTTCAAAGACTTGTGACTTTTACAGCCACAAGTCACATGTCATTCCACAGTGACTCTTACAGCCACTGCCTGCCGACCCGGACAAAATCGAACCGAAAGAAACATAGGCTTATCCTTTTCACGCTGCTCGCTTCTTCGTTGCTTTCCAGATATAGGTCTTCGCTGAAACAACTGCAGACTGATGGAACGGCCAAGCAATGTAGTTTAGTGGGCCATGAGGTCTTGACAGTTGATTTCACTGAAACGTTGACTTACTTCTAAACAAAACTGGAAACATTTTGTTCGTTCATTGGCAGCGCCAGCGTGCCATCATCATTGGTGCTCACATGCATGAGCATGATCAAATTTTAAAACCTGGAGCTCCACCCATGTGAGTCCTGGTGCTACATGCTTTGAACAATTTCGCTCCATCACCTTGAGTCATCATGATGATAGCAAGAAGGGACCCTGCCATCATGGGATGACCTTCTACAATCTTTCAGTCCTGTGTGCAGGTGGGATTCCTGCGCATTTCTCCCTACATGTTTTGGATAGCATGTAAGTGTTTTGAAGCGGTGCTTGAATTCTTGAGGCTGTGACTGGCCAATCGAAGCCCCCACTCACCTGCAAACCGCAGACTTGTCTCCAAAGAATGTCAAACACACTGCACATTATTGAAATATGAAGTAAATCTATTGGAACGAAAGCCAGACACTGAGGATTGAGAGGTTAAGACAACTTGACAGAGCCGCTGTAAAAGTGTCTTGCAATAAATTGTGTGAAAGCGTTGTGAATTGTGTAAAAACATTTTACCTTGACATCACATATTCAATAGATCGGTGTTGGCTATAAAAACTCAAAACGCTGCATCTGAGATCAAAACGGTTGTGAGCCTGAGCCTGCTGAGGCCCATGGCACTTTGAACCACCTACTGCTCTTGATTTTTTTCGATCACATTTTTGTTTCCATTCATGATAAGATGCATCAATACATTCACCAAACACCATGCATTCAATACAACTGTGTTTTCAACTAAAGTTGGCGCAGAAGACCCGTACGCGGAACAGGTGATGGTTATGGATACTCTGGACAGCATCCATGAAAAACAATGTCTGTCTAGATGTGAAAAGAGATCTGAATATCCCTTTGAAAACAAAACACAGGAAAGAACAAATAGCCCAGGCAGAAAGAACCAATAGCCAGGCAAAGCCTTTAAATCGCAATTTTACCTCAGTTTTTAGCGATCGAACCTCATTTCGTGCGAAAGGGTTGCGTTTCGTGCCGTCTCGTTGGCACTGCCCCTGCTCCCGCCTTCAAGAGAGAAATAGAAAAGAAGGAGAGGGCAAGAGGGCAAAAGGGCAAGAGGGCAAGAGGGCAAGAGGAGAAGATGTGAGGATGAGAAGATGTGAAGATGAGAAGATGTGCAGATGAGAAGATGTGAAGATGAGAAGATGTGAAGATGAGAAGATGAGGAGAAGATGTGAAGAGGAGAAGATGTGAGGATGAGAAGATGAGAAGATGAGAAGATGAGGAGAAGATGTGAAGAGGAGAAAATGTGAGGATGAGAAGATATGAAGATGAGAAGATGAGAAGATGTTTTACAGACTCCCACTATTGGAAGAACCCTGCGCCCAGACGCTCTTGGGAAAAACACTACAGTCAACATAGATCAAAATCATTTCATCTAGAATCTGCTGTCTGGTAATGTATCTATTTTCATGTGTTTTTTCCCGCGAACTGGAGTGCCTTCTTTAGCATCTGGATGAACTCATCAATCAGCTTGTAGGCTTTGGTGGCATTGATGCCATTGTCCTGGGATCGATGGGATCCCATGGGATCCCGCTATGGATCCCTATGGCTGGTTTTTACGTTGACGTTGTGGAAAACCCATGGGGGTTTTAACCCAGCTACAAATGTCTAATGGTTGATTCTCCACATCACATTGCCATGAAAAACGATATTTGTTGCGGAAATATCCCCTTCTTCAGCCCAATGTACATATGATATTCATTGATATTCATACCCTCCGGTAATCAAACATGGCAATTAGACATAATCCATTTGTAGATAATTTTCCCATTAAAACCTCCATCTACAGTGGATTGATCTTTTCACATGTTTTTTCCCATTAAAACCTTCGTTTTCGTCGGGGATTTCCCTGGCACTGCGGGTCCTCCCAAAGATAGCGCCTTTGTCCGTGGATCATGTAGTCCAAGAGCCAACTATTGGTGGCCTCCAAGGCATGCCGTTTTTTCTGGACGGTTTGTTTACATTACATGTTTTGTTTTTTTAAAACATGTGCTTTACTTTTTTAAAACCATGTTTCGTACATGTTTTTTTTACAAGGTTAGTTTTTTCATTTGTTTATGACATGTTTCTTTACATGTTGCTTACAGCAGTAAAATTGCGATATTTTGGATGTAAATCCACCAGCAAAAAAATCATTGATCTGGTTGAATTAAGTATTTTGCCAGCCTCAACTAGAGATTCGGATCACATGGCTGCCCTGGTACGAGCTGATCCTGATTTAAGTCTCTCCTTGTATTCCCATTAATCTATTACCCTCTGATAAACATACAAAAAACGATGGAAAATCACCATTTTGAATGGGTAAATCCACTATTTCTATGGCCATTTTCACTAGCTATGTTAGTTTACCAGAGGGTAATTTCCCATGAATAGCTCATCACTATCCATTCATATTCCATATTCTATATCCACTGAGTGTGACATATCCCATTATAAAACACCATATTTTCCCATTAATCATTCAATCCAATTCGAATACCATTTCCATATTCTATCCACTGTTTGAGGATGACATCCCATTAATATCACATTCAAACACATAAAAATATCCCATTCAAACGCCGATTCTTAGACCCCTCCCCATGGTGCAGCCTCCAAGTCCCCGCCATCCCGACCGGGAGGGTTGGCCACAGTGGGGATGGCGTTGAGATCCAAGTGCAACACGTTCCTGGCCGTGAGACACAAGCGCTACTTACTTAAGGGCATAGATGGGTAGTTGTGGAATATTATATATATATATATATTAATGTTTGTTAAAATTAATATTAAATTAGTATCAATTATTATTACTATTGTTATCATTAATAACATTGCTAATTGTGGAATTGTAGTTACCATATAATTATTTGTGGAACATCAATATATATATATATATGTTAGGAATATATATATATGTTACTATTACTAACATATATATATATTACTAAAACTAACAGATAAACATATATATATAAAACCCAGTTATTATAATTTCTACTATTACTAACATAACACACACACATATATATATATATATTCGTTATTGCATAATCAAAGCTAATATAATCCATAATTATATACATGTGGTTATTGCATATATATATATATATATGATGATGATGATGATATTACTACCGTCAGTATTGTTATTATTTCTGTTATCATTGTCATTATTAGTATATATATAATTATATGTGCATACATATTATCATATTTTATCATATGTATAATACACACACACATATATATATATACATATACATACTCACAGAATGCAGTGATGTGCTCCTTAAAGTAAATGTTGAAATTATTGAAAACTGCAATTTCAAGTAACAAACACATCCGGCAAACCAGTGCTGGACAGGTCCTGCAGTTTTTGCACAAATCCACGGGAGATCTGAAATGATCCCCCACACCACCCAGGGCCGAAAACGGTGACCGCGTCTTGTACCTGGTAGAGATGAGAATTTCCCCAATATTTTCCAGCTTTGGGGGTGGAAAAAACAAGAGAAAACCTGCAGGAAACCATGGTTTTCCTTGTGAAATATTGTGGGTTTCCGGCATTTTCTTCAGAAATTTCTGGCAAAAATATGGAAGCATCATGGATGATGTTTGAAGATGTACAATGTTGTAACCACCAGGGTTACTAAATTCTATAAAACGGGTTGGACCACTCTCATATAGACTATACTTAGCGTCTGACAATAAAGCAATGGAACATGTTTTGCAATGCCAGGATGACTAGATTGCAAAGTCATGATGACTCAGCAAATCCACTATACTATAATACTGTTTGTAAAGTAAGAATTGATTTTCCATAGTTTGTGACTTCATCGTGCCCAAATAAATCCAGTTTATAACTATTGTTGAGAATAGGATGAGCAACTTTTTTCCTAGAGAATCAACAGTAAATAAACAAGGGGTTTTAATAAATGCTCAACTGATTCTTCACTCACTAAAACAGACCGATTGTGTGGGTCCATACAAGGTAGCTTGCAGTTATTAAGTTACACATCCCATTAACACTTATATTCCTTTCCTAGCTCACCAAGTTTTCATAAGCCAATTTAGTTATATCCTTCCTTTACAAATCCCATGAACTATATAGTGACATCTCCCCCTGATTCACCAAGTTGGAAACCAAGAAATCCATCCAAATCCCACTAATTCGAGTTATATTTCCCCTCCTAGTTCACCAAGTTGTGATAAACCAAGTTAGTTATATCTCCCTTACTTTAATACAGTTATAAGTGACAAATCCCATCAAGTTAGTTATATAAATCTCCCCTTTACGTTCACCAAGGTTCACCTTAAGTTGTCATACGTTCGGTGGTGCCCCCAGTTATAAATTAGTGAAATAAGCCAATTAACAACAAAAACCATAGTGAAATGGATAATTAAGCCCTATAAATTAGTTATAAGCCCTATAAATTAGTTATAATTAACCAGTTCGGTAGATCACCAACAAAAACCAACACGTGAAATTGGAATCATGTGAACCCCAACTGAACGCGAATAAATTGGGCATCACCAAATCATCCATTTATAGATGGACTTTCCCTCATAAACCATCCACAACTTGGGGGTACCCCCCATGACTATGAAAACCCCCAAGACTTCAACGAGGGCCCGTTCCGAGCTCGGCGCACTTCACCATTTGACCAAAGAACTCGGGTCCAAAGGCTCCGTCGTTGCCGTCCTGAGTGGAAAATTCGTTCAGGTGTCCATATATATATATATATAACCATAGCCATAGATATAACTATTATGGGTAAATTATAAATGGTAATATTATAGCAAATATTATGGCAAAACATAGCAAATAAATTGTAATAATAAATATATAATAAAACCATAGCCATAGCCATTCATTGTCCAATTAGCTTGAAGGTTATAGGACAATTATATATGTTGCTAATTTAACTATGGGAACCTATTCTTAGCCATCTTGCAAATACAACTATAGGATATATAACCATAGCCATAAATATAACTATGGGTAAATTATAAATGGTTATAGCCAATAGCACATATACATGGCTAATAAATAACTATAGGTAAATTATATCTGGTTGGTGGTAGACCTACCCCTCTGAAAAAAAAAATAATCAGTTGGGATGATGATTCCCAATGTAAGGAAAGTCATAAAATTCATGTTCCAAACCACCAACCAGTACATTTTGGCAAATATAACTATGGGTAAATTAAAAATTGTTAAAACTAGTTAGTTATAGTACCACACAGCCTCGATGGTACTAAACCAATATGCAACCACAGCACGGCGCAAACTTCTTTTCACAGCGCTTGAGCCAAACATACAAGGTGCGAAAGCAAAATGAGACAATGCAACATGACACGTATGAGCTATATATGAGAAGGGCTGGATTCCCTGTGATTTCTCAACTCCCCCCTCGAGTAAAGTGTCATGTGCAACTACAATTGGGGTAGGTACACACAGTACCACACGATTTCACCATGCCAATACTCGCCTTTTGTCACTTTGGACATTGCGGCGCATGCACAAATTTTGTGTACTTTGGAGTCATGGTCTCGCCATCAAGTCTGATGAACGCACCTTTGTTTCCTCTTTGGCCACAGTAGTTTGGAGCTGAGAAGACAGTGATCAGTGTTCCACTGTGCTCCACGCTAAAGCCTTCCTCCTTAAATTCGTGGCTGCGAATCACCATCTTCAAACCATTCACCTTCAAGAAGTGTTCGGTCACGTCTGGCCCAAAGGCCACCCCGACTCTTCTCTTAATTGGAAGGAGCCCTGCCTGGATCCGGCTGAGGATCATTCCAAAGCATTTCGGTCATGAGACCTTCGCAATTTTGGTGGCTCACAATCTCGGTTCACCTTTCGGATGTCATCCAACGTGACGTTGTCATGGGAGAATAGGCCCCCATGCACCACGAAGACCTGCTGGTTGATGACGTGGCAAAGAGGCAACAAACAGAAGGCTTCACAAAAGAGGTCGTACATGGCTTCACCATTCTTGCTGATGACCTCCTGTTTGAAGCCGTAGCGTGAGGTCATGTTCCTTGTTTCATGATTGCCGCGCGCCGGGCGCATGTGGTTTGGAAACGCTAGTTTCCATGCAAAAAGTGTCAAGATCACTTCCACGGAAAACGATCCTCGGTCAACAAAGTCTCCATTGAACAGGTAGGGGTTCTCCTGCAAGGGCACTCCATTCAGGGAGAAAATGTTGAGCAAATCATAGAATGAGCGTGGATGTCTCCGCAGACAGTGACTTCACCCTTCTCGGGAACGTCAATGTCTACCAAGGTACTCGACTCTTTCAGCATCTCGGTCATGTCCAACACAATCTGGTTGGCAAACTTTTTATCAATTCGCGTTTTCTCTGATGTTCCATGAGTTGCTGGCAACAGTCATTCGTGCACCTCCCTGAAGGGTACACCGGTCCCCTGTAGTCCGGATCCACCTCCATCTTTTCGACTGTGCTCTTGGCCTCGGCGCAGGACATTTGAGACAATTGAGATGAGAGAATCAGAGAAAATGGCTGGGACATTTGGAGTTCCTACGGAGTTCCGACGGGGTTTTTGCCGTTCGTATCGTTCATGGATATGTTTAACAAAGGTGTGACTTTTATTGGGGCGGCAGAACAGTGCATCGCTCGGAATTGCTCGGAGACGATACAGAGCTCTCAGCCTGAGGGTTTCACCCATCCATTTCATACTATCGACCTGGAGGGTTTCAGAAGGGTTCAGCGGCCAGCAATCCGAAACCGACAGTCAAAAGGGGGCACAGCACCATGACATGTGACAGATCTTTAAAGCAAACAGGTCGCTCACCGTGGCGGCATCTTTTTCTTGGAGGCATGCAGGCCTAGAAGCAATCCAACTGCATTAAGCCCATCCCTTGGACAACGCAGTGTGACAGTTTGACTGACACTGTTGCTACAGCATAGCTACTGCTAAACCCTCAGCATAGCTGTGTACAGCTTCCCAGGCTCATGAAATTAGGAGTGAAACTTTGATGAACGTCGAAGATGAGCAGCTGATGCCCCAAGCCCAAGTACAGTAGTACACTGTCATGCACTCGCCCGCCAGGCATCATGCACTCCCATTGGCGCTTGACTTGACTCGGCCACCAATCTCTTCAATCCCTTCACGGTGTCCCTGCTTTCTCCGCTTCGCCGTCCAATTTTGAAACCTCTGCGTCTTCTTGTTCTCGGCATCCTGGTGGGCCGTGCGAACAAGGTCAGGGATGTCGGGGATGGTCGCAAGCTTTGCTCTCAACGAGGATCTTGCTACATTCTTTCTCGATCCAGTCGCTGACTCGCTCCAATCGCTTGATGTTGCTGTTGCCCTGGCGATCCACCCAGATCTGGATCCAGGTCCTGCTCGGTCTATGCTCAGCTTAATCAGCCCCTTTTGCGACAACCGGTTAAGATCATCCTCAGTAACTTCAAAAACATCCATTGCGGCAGTTCCGGATCGTCTATGTTCCGAAGGAATCAAACAAATACAAATACAAATGCATACAAATACGACATTCCCAATACAGTACACCCAAATTCTTGCACGTCTGAATCCGCCATGCTAGGAGACAGCGTACATTTAGAAAACACTACTCTGAACCGGGTCAAATGCAAGAAAAACTAAACCATTCATGTTCCCCTGGCTGTCTGCCTGGTGAACCAAGACGGCAGTCGGCACGCACCCTAGTGGCTTGTCAATGATGTAATGATGGTCCGATGGTTAGCACTTCTTCCCATGCTCACCTGACCTAGGCGTCCGGTGTCGCTGAGTTCCATGCTTTCGCCAAATACCACTGTCTGGAGCGCTGTTCCTGAGTGTCCTGGATCAGCTTGAAGTGGCACTGTGGGCCCACCAAAACCTGTCTTTGCACTACAGGAACACAACCCCAGCTCTCCTGCGTCTCCTGTCTTGGTCTCATTTTCCCTTCCTCTGCGTTCTTCTTCACTTCGAGGTCGTAGGTTCCATCCTTTGTGGCACTATGTGACACCCAAAAGCTTGTGGGTAAAGTTCCACCTCTCCATTCTGATCAAATACGTTGAAATACATTCAGAAGTTCCTTCAAGTCCGATCCGCATCACAAGTCGTATTCCCGTCCTCATGCAGCTTTTGCACTGTGCAAGGCATCCAACGTTGATAGGAGTCGCCTTTGCACGAATCATTGAACAGTTTTCACTGACCATAATCCTTTCATGCCGTCTGCCACCACTTCGTGTGCACACCACGTGCCAAGCTGCTCCAATACTCCACCAGGTTTCCGATCTTGTACTTGTGCGCCTGGGCCATCCCAAAGCTTGGCACGTCACACGTCGCAGAGAAAATAACATGTTGAGTGCGCCTGTCGCATTTTGTACCGCAACATGTTGTAGCTATGTAGCTGTGTTGCACTTGGAACCATAGAAACGTGCCTTCGTGTACACCAGACCGATCTTGCCTGGGCAAAGCATGAAACACAAACATATCCAACCTTCAAACCAAAACCCTAACATGGTTTTGACATGTTTTTACCAATAATTTGCAAAAGCGAGCACATATGTTTTCCAATTCCTCGCCATTTTCTGCTGTTTCTCTATCACTGAACTTAGAGCTGCTGCTGAGTCATAGTACTGAATCTGCTTCTGCAAGTCAAGAAAATGCAACTGTGCTTTCAAAACAAATGAGAAAACACTTCTCCCGAGCACATCGACAAGAAACTGAGATCATCCCGATTCTTGCAGCCAAGGTCAACTGCCTGGTGGGTCAAGATGTCACAACACAGATCGCAACAGCTCATTAAAGTTTATCCCCCAGCTATCTCCAGGTTTCGGTCATGAGACCTTCGCAATTTTGGTGGCTCACAATCTCGGTTCACCTTTCGGATGTCATCCAACGTGACGTTGTCATGGGAGAATAGGCCCCCATGCACCACGAAGACCTGCTGGTTGATGACGTGGCAAAGAGGCAACAAACAGAAGGCTTCACAAAAGAGGTCGTACATGGCTTCACCATTCTTGCTGATGACCTCCTGTTTGAAGCCGTAGCGTGAGGTCATGTTCCTTGTTTCATGATTGCCGCGCGCCGGGCGCATGTGGTTTGGAAACGCTAGTTTCCATGCAAAAAGTGTCAAGATCACTTCCACGGAAAACGATCCTCGGTCAACAAAGTCTCCATTGAACAGGTAGGGGTTCTCCTGCAAGGGCACTCCATTCAGGGAGAAAATGTTGAGCAAATCATAGAATGAGCGTGGATGTCTCCGCAGACAGTGACTTCACCCTTCTCGGGAACGTCAATGTCTACCAAGGTACTCGACTCTTTCAGCATCTCGGTCATGTCCAACACAATCTGGTTGGCAAACTTTTTATCAATTCGCGTTTTCTCTGATGTTCCATGAGTTGCTGGCAACAGTCATTCGTGCACCTCCCTGAAGGGTACACCGGTCCCCTGTAGTCCGGATCCACCTCCATCTTTTCGACTGTGCTCTTGGCCTCGGCGCAGGACATTTGAGACAATTGAGATGAGAGAATCAGAGAAAATGGCTGGGACATTTGGAGTTCTTACGGGGTTCCGACGGGGTTTTTGCCGTTCGTATCGTTCATGGATATGTTTAACAAAGGTGTGACTTTTATTGGGGCGGCAGAACAGTGCATCGCTCGGAATTGCTCGGAGACGATACAGAGCTCTCAGCCTGAGGGTTTCACCCATCCATTTCATACTATCGACCTGGAGGGTTTCAGAAGGGTTCAGCGGCCAGCAATCCGAAACCGACAGTCAAAAGGGGGCACAGCACCATGACATGTGACAGATCTTTAAAGCAAACAGGTCGCTCACCGTGGCGGCATCTTTTTCTTGGAGGCATGCAGGCCTAGAAGCAATCCAACTGCATTAAGCCCATCCCTTGGACAACGCAGTGTGACAGTTTGACTGACACTCATGCTACAGCATAGCTACTGCTAAACCCTCAGCATAGCTGTGTACAGCTTCCCAGGCTCATGAAATTAGGAGTGAAACTTTGATGAACGTCGAAGATGAGCAGCTGATGCCCCAAGCCCAAGTACAGTAGTACACTGTCATGCACTCGCCCGCCAGGCATCATGCACTCCCATTGGCGCTTGACTTGACTCGGCCACCAATCTCTTCAATCCCTTCACGGTGTCCCTGCTTTCTCCGCTTCGCCGTCCAATTTTGAAACCTCTGCGTCTTCTTGTTCTCGGCATCCTGGTGGGCCGTGCGAACAAGGTCAGGGATGTCGGGGATGGTCGCAAGCTTTGCTCTCAACGAGGATCTTGCTACATTCTTTCTCGATCCAGTCGCTGACTCGCTCCAATCGCTTGATGTTGCTGTTGCCCTGGCGATCCACCCAGATCTGGATCCAGGTCCTGCTCGGTCTATGCTCAGCTTAATCAGCCCCTTTTGCGACAACCGGTTAAGATCATCCTCAGTAACTTCAAAAACATCCATTGCGGCAGTTCCGGATCGTCTATGTTCCGAAGGAATCAAACAAATACAAATACAAATGCATACAAATACGACATTCCCAATACAGTACACCCAAATTCTTGCACGTCTGAATCCGCCATGCTAGGAGACAGCGTACATTTAGAAAACACTACTCTGAACCGGGTCAAATGCAAGAAAAACTAAACCATTCATGTTCCCCTGGCTGTCTGCCTGGTGAACCAAGACGGCAGTCGGCACGCACCCTAGTGGCTTGTCAATGATGTAATGATGGTCCGATGGTTAGCACTTCTTCCCATGCTCACCTGACCTAGGCGTCCGGTGTCGCTGAGTTCCATGCTTTCGCCAAATACCACTGTCTGGAGCGCTGTTCCTGAGTGTCCTGGATCAGCTTGAAGTGGCACTGTGGGCCCACCAAAACCTGTCTTTGCACTACAGGAACACAACCCCAGCTCTCCTGCGTCTCCTGTCTTGGTCTCATTTTCCCTTCCTCTGCGTTCTTCTTCACTTCGAGGTCGTAGGTTCCATCCTTTGTGGCACTATGTGACACCCAAAAGCTTGTGGGTAAAGTTCCACCTCTCCATTCTGATCAAATACGTTGAAATACATTCAGAAGTTCCTTCAAGTCCGATCCGCATCACAAGTCGTATTCCCGTCCTCATGCAGCTTTTGCACTGTGCAAGGCATCCAACGTTGATAGGAGTCGCCTTTGCACGAATCATTGAACAGTTTTCACTGACCATAATCCTTTCATGCCGTCTGCCACCACTTCGTGTGCACACCACGTGCCAAGCTGCTCCAATACTCCACCAGGTTTCCGATCTTGTACTTGTGCGCCTGGGCCATCCCAAAGCTTGGCACGTCACACGTCGCAGAGAAAATAACATGTTGAGTGCGCCTGTCGCATTTTGTACCGCAACATGTTGTAGCTATGTAGCTGTGTTGCACTTGGAACCATAGAAACGTGCCTTCGTGTACACCAGACCGATCTTGCCTGGGCAAAGCATGAAACACAAACATATCCAACCTTCAAACCAAAACCCTAACATGGTTTTGACATGTTTTTACCAATAATTTGCAAAAGCGAGCACATATGTTTTCCAATTCCTCGCCATTTTCTGCTGTTTCTCTATCACTGAACTTAGAGCTGCTGCTGAGTCATAGTACTGAATCTGCTTCTGCAAGTCAAGAAAATGCAACTGTGCTTTCAAAACAAATGAGAAAACACTTCTCCCGAGCACATCGACAAGAAACTGAGATCATCCCGATTCTTGCAGCCAAGGTCAACTGCCTGGTGGGTCAAGATGTCACAACACAGATCGCAACAGCTCATTAAAGTTTATCCCCCAGCTATCTCCAGGTTAAAATAGATGATCGTATAAGCTATGATACATAGATGATTAGCTTGTCACGGTGACATGCCACCTTGTTGTGTGCTAAGCATTTCGAATGGCAAAACACAAGTGCGCATTGTTCTGGGTTTATTAAAAGAGAGTCGACAAATCGCAACTGATGAGCAAAAGAGAGTAGATGTAGATTGCGAGTAGAGCTTGCAACTGGTTTGCTTTAGTGTAGTCACAGGGGTCACATTGCGAGGCATCAAAGCCAAGGCCTCATTGTGGTGGACTTCCACGACCTCCGACTCCAGGTGCCGATATCCGTTCAAAATGTGTCGTTTGTGAACTCGTAAGCACTTCCTCTCTGTTGCAGTTTGAACAGAATTTGAAGTTCCAGAATGAAATCGGTTCACATAGAAACCCTGAGCCAAAAGATTGAATTGCATCTGCCTCTAAAGAATGAGTTCTTTGCTCAGGAATGCTTGGCCAAACCTGGAAGCAGTGTGCAAAACGAATTTGGAAGTGCAACAGCAAACAAATCATTGAAAATTTCTTGACAAAAATCTTTAAATCCTTTCCGTAGCCTGGCAGCCCTCGTCATCCAAATCCTGGGGACTGGTGCTTTTCTTGCGGCAGCCCTCACGTTTGTGGAACAAGATGCCCAAGACAAGTCCTCCAAAAGGTCGCTTGGCGACGGCGGTGCTGTCTCAGGTTGCCTGAAAGGCTGAAGCAGCGAAGCACTAAGTTACCGGTGAACGTGGCATGGCTAGGCTGATGGCTAGATGTCCCTGCCTATGGCCAGGTGGCTTGTCGGTTGGAGTTTTGCAATCTTCTGACCTCAAGTTCTACATTGAACCTTCACGGGTTCCAGGTGTTGAACTGATTTGAATCCGCGAATTGCATTGGTTCGAAATACAAATGCTGATCTCCAGAGCTGATTGATTTCGAGTCCCCAGAAATCAGGAATCAGTGGACTATGTTTTGCTCAGCAAACTTTACCAGTGAACTACACCGAAACTGTACCAGGCCTCTCTTTTTGCAGCGTGAGTTGGAAGCTCTGGCGTTCATCGGCCAGCCTGCAGGTGAGAGATGAGTCAGATGAGAATACAAAAGGTATCAAAAGGTCAGGAAGGCCTGGGAGGTGTCATTGGGAGCGCCCCAATTCTTTCGCGTTGTTCGATCGATTTGGCCACCTACAGCAGATGCCAAGACTTCACGACCCTGCAGACTGCTGACGTAAGATAAGGCGAGATGAAATAAGATATGGCTGCGCTTGCATGTCCTAGAGCAGAAACACTTGAGCAGGCGGATTCAAAGATGGTATTATAACCTGTCTGAGAATTTATCCTACGGAATCTTCGCCTATTGGCGTTGCTCTGAAGAGACTCTTCATCAACAACATTGTTGGTTCTAGCAGCTAAACCAATCTCTTTGTCTTCTTCACCTGGTTTGATGCCTGCCGAAAATGATGCTGGATCAACTTCAGGCTCCTCAGACGCACTTGACAAAGGTGGAACAACTTCGACATCGTCTGCAATGGCTGGAGTCAATGGTGCAAAGGCTGGTGTTTCAAGAACAGGAGCAGGAGTCTTTGACTCTGCTTCCTTCGATGCAGTAGATGATGCTATCTTCTCTGCTCGAACCAGGCCATTAAACCTTGCTCTGCAAATGGGAGTGTGTCTGCTATTTGGTGCTTCGAACCTGCATGCACGACAACCCTCAGTTGCTCCAAAACGGATGATGCGATCAAGGGTGATGTACTCGCTACGCTTGGTGGTTGTCTCAATTGAGATATTGGAGAAAGGCACATCTAGTGGGGTGATGTCGGCCAGAGCTGCATCAGTGAAGGTAGCCAGTGCTGTGTCTGCTGCTTGCTTCAACGGCAGGACTGGATCCTTCTCCTCAACATAGAGTTCTTCCATTGGGACAGCAATAGCCTTTCCATAAATGGCCTCCCTGTTCTTGACCTTCGCGTAGTCGATTGCATAATATACACCTTTGAAAGAGTTTGGACCTGCATCATATCTATATCCACAGAACAGCCCAGGTTTTGTGGAGGCATCGAACTTACCTCGCTGCAACGGATCTACGCGATAATGCACTAGCTGTCCAAGCAACAACATTCGACCAGAAAACTCGGCACCTATGGCTAGGAAATGCCTTGTCTGATCTTTACCTGAAGGCTTGTGCATGGCAGTGATGATTGTGGCAGCATAGTCAACGGAGTGAGTCCACAAACCAGGGATCAAGTCAAAACCTGCTTGGAGATGGCATGCACGGGCAATTTCTTCGATGGTTCTTAGATCCCTCTCTAAGACGGAGTTATGTGGGAACCTATTTTCGAGTGAACCCTCAAAAACACATCCAAGTTGCCTGCATGCAGCTCTTGTCTCTGGTGTTTGATCTGACTTAACCATCACTGAGGGCTGATCATACGGAGGTCCTAGGAAGGAAAGGATATTACCAACAACAGATGATGTATCTCTCCTAGCTAGGGGGAAAGCTCTTAGCCAACCACTGTGTTCATCTCGTATGACT